TAAGCCTGTTTCACTTCCTATTAGAATGAGCATCCTGTCTTAAAGAGTTTCTTTCCCAGATGGAAGGTTTTACCTTGAGAGGATTGCTTCAGATCACGCCCGTACACACATCAATATGCTTGTATATGCAGGTGCTATGTTGATATTTCCTCCAAATTTAGACATTATCTCTTTGGGGGAGGACGGAAAATATAATTTATTAGGCTCAGAAAACTGTAAGGAAAGCCTGGTGTCTTAGGGTTACTATTGCTGTGAAAAACAAAACAAAACAAAAAAAACAAAAACAGAAAAACACCATGACCAAAAGCAACTTGGGGAGGAAAGTGTTTATTTGATTTACATATCCTGAATCACAGTTCATGGAGAGAAGCCAAGGCAGCAACTCAAACCTGGTTGGAACCTGGAGGCAGGGGCTGATCCAAAGGCCACAGAGGAAGGCTGCTACTTGCTGTGAGATGATGCTTTAGTATGCTGGAAACATCTGTCACTCATATTGGTTTAATAAAATGCCAATAGTCAGGCGGGAAATATAGCTGGGACAAGCAGACTAAGAGAATTCTGAGAAGAGGAAAGGCAAGAGTCTCAGTCATCAGCCAGCTGCAGAGGAAGCAAGATGAGAATGTTTGACTGAGAAGAGGTTCCCAAACCACATGGCTAAACATAGACAAGAATTATGGGTTAATTTAAGTTGTAAGAGCTAGTTAATGATAAGCCTGAGCTAGTAGGTCAAAGAGTTTATAATTAATATAAGCCTCAGTGTGTTTCTTTGGGACTGAACAGCAGTGGAATTGGGTGGGACAGAAACTTCTGTCTACAGCTACTGGCTTCCTCTCCATGGCTTGCTCAGCCTGCTTTCTTATAGCACCCAGGACCACCAGTCCAGGGATGGCACCACCCACAACGTGCTGGGTTCTTGCCCATCAACCTCTACTCTACAGGCCTGCCTACAGTCAGATCTTATGGAGTCATTTTCCTCCTCTGAGCCTGTGTTAAATAAAGCAAGCCACAACGGGTAGAAAAGGGCATTCCCAGAAGCAATAAGGTTATTAAATAATATCCCAGTGACAGAAATGGGATACCTCCCTATAAATTGAGGTCCTTAACCTTTTTTTTTTTTTATTTTCGAGACAGGGTTTCTTTGGAGTTTTTGGTGCCTGTCCTGGAACTAGCTCTTGTAGACCAGACTGGCATTGAACTCACAGAGATTTGCCTGCCTCTGCCTCCTGAGTTCTGGGATTAAAGACATGTGCCACCGCTGACCGGTGAGGTCCCCAAACTTAAAAGTTATTACCTGTTGTTGGTTGTATGCCAGGATTAGACCAGTAAGATTCTATTGTTGAAGACACTGCATGCTCTGGCTATAGGCATAGGAAAATCCAGTTGGAACTGATCAGTAAGCTTCCTCTCTGACTGCAAGGTTTTATAGTGCCAAAAGGCACTGTGCAATCTCTGAGGGTATAATTCTTACCAACAGTCCCGCGTGGTTATAGATCCTGTGTTCTCTATTCCCAACATGCCATGAAAGATAAGCCCGCTGGTGCAATAGTGGCATAGCTGTTATGGATGCAACTGAGTGCTTTCTTGTGGGAGGGAACTAAGTTATGAGCCTGGCAGGGATCTGGGCTACAGCTTTCTGCCTTCTCAGAGGGAAACTGCTCCTCCCCCAAGGGCTACCGAGAGTCATAATAGATCAAGCTTTGAGAACAAGTGACTGCTGATGTGGATCAGTGGCCAACTGGGGCAAAGTTCACACATCCATATCACCCTCTCCAAGACTCAGGCAACATGACAGAAGAGAGGGCAGAAAGGATCTAAGAGTCAGAGGAAGGGATGGGATATTATGTAACTATTTTCTCTGGAGGGAGGAGAGGGCTTGGAAGACTGGAACTTCATAAAACGTACAAGACTCAGGAGTCATGGAAAGTTCTGACATTAAAAGTTGCTGGAATGGTTCTGTAAGACTTTAACAACTGCTACAGGAGAGGAGACTCTTCTGTGGAGGTGCCTGAAAAATAGACAGGGAGGTCAGAGAGAGATGGGAGGTCAGAGATGGGAGGTCAGAGATGGGGGATCAGAGATGG